ACACAAACACCATACTCGATCTCGTCTCTTTCTGGTGATCCAAAAAATCAAATCTCAATCACTTTCTTTATTTCATTGTCATGAAACAAAAATCTCTAACCATAGTTAAGATGATGTTTCTTCTCCTCCATTAAACTCTCTTTGTCCTTTCTCTTGATCAAACTGAGCCACCGCTTAGAAATTGATAGTTAACTATGTTCGGAAATCAGTATAATAGATAATTATGTTTCTGATAATAGTTGACCATGTGTATTATTATTGTTCACTATACAAACTATAATAGGTAACTATGTTTCTGATAATAGTTAACTATGTGTGTTATTTTTTTCATTATGATAGGTAACTACGTTTTAAATTAGTTAACTATGCTTGTTTAAATAATTAACTATTACAACAACATTTTCATATAGTCAACTATGTATTGAAATCAGTGGAGTACATAACTGCGCTCTGAAAATAGTTAAATATGTTTTTAAATTGGTAACTATTTTTTAAAAATAGTTAACTATATTTTAGATAGTAACAAAGAATGTGATGTTGTTAACTATGTTCTGAGATATTTTGAAAATATTTAACTATGTAGTACCATAGTTAACTATTACATCATTTTATTTTTTTGTCATGTACTGATCCAATTTTTGTTTTTCCAGAACATATACAATCGCAGGAGCAATTTTCCATGGATGAAATAAAAAGAAGATTTTTAGAGATTTGTTATATATATATTTACCTTAACTATAGTTGTAAGCGCAATTTTGTCATATTTTTAATTCTCTCTCCTAGTTGCCTAAATTTTTTTTTTGATATGTTAATTTCCTAAATATTAGTCTCAAAAGTAATATTCAGCTAATTAACCCTAATAGTAATTTATTAAAAATGAGAAATAATAATTAACTTGATAAGAATTAATTTTTTAAATAATGTATTAATAATAGTAAGTATAACAATTTTTTTTTCAAAAATGACACTTTTATTAGCCAATATTTGATATAATTGTGATAATAAGATGATTGGTGACAAAAAG